TCTGGGACCTGGCCACTGCTAGGAGAGGACAGAGCCACACAGCATGTGGGGGTTAGACAGGCTTCTGTCCCATGCAAAGCTCCAGAGTGTGCCTCAGTTTTCCCATTGGTAAAATGGGGTTAATACCAGCGTCTTCTGTAAGGAGCTTTGAGAGCTAATGAAAAGCACCATGAGAGCTTGGTGTTAGTAACACACCTTGTCTGCGGGGCGGCTGTAGCTTTTGCAGACACACCCTCGCTTAAATCTCTGGTTTTCCCCTTCCCGTCACTGCAGACTGCAGGTTGCTGTGGGATTACGTCTACCAGCTCCTCTCGGACAGTCGCTACGAGCCAAGGTTTTCCGGGTGGTTGACCCTAACGGACTCGCTAGGCTGTGGGGGAACCATAAGGTGAGTCTGGGTGAGCGTGGGCCAGAGCACCCGGTCGTCCCGTGCCCGCTCGGGGGAAGTGCTTCCGCTCCTCTCCCAGCCTCGGCCGGAGGGGCTGGGCGCTGATGCCTCGTCTCCTCCTGCAGAACCGGGCCAACATGACCTATGAGAAGATGTCGAGAGCGCTAAGACATTACTACAAACTCAACATCATCAGGAAGGAGCCGGGGCAGAAGCTGTTATTCAGGTGACGCATCGGCCAGGCCAAGGAGCCTAGCCAGGGGTGTGCTGGCCAGTGGGGCCTGGCTCCGCTGCTGTCCACGCTGCGCTCGCAGGGCTGCTTTGCGCCTCAGTGACACGGATGCAGACGCAGCGTAATGGTGCGGGAGTAAGCGGCCGTGCTCGCGAGTCCCGCTGCTGTAACCGAAACCTGGCGCCACCCAGCTCCCGCGGCAGCGGCACGCCTGCGTCCGAGAGGCCGTCGGGTGGATTTAAATATGTGGGAGGGGCTGATTCTGCAGAGCCAGGAGCGAGGCCCCGCTCTGCCCCACACACGGGGGTGGGACACCTGGGACAGCTTCTCTCTCGATCCAGGGACCTTCCTGGGCCTGGGCCTGCCAGGAGCGGAGCTCCGCCCCCCTCCTGAAATGAGGGCAACAAGCATCCTGCAGAACCAGGCCCCATCCGAGAGCTGCCCCGAGCCCTCTTCTCCAGAGCCTGGTCCAAAGCCCACATGTCCGCACAGAGTCCCACGACTTCAGTGGGCTTTGGATCAGGCCCCTCTGGAGCTGAGTGGGAATTCTGGCTGCTCCCCACCCGCTGACACTAATTGCTGGGGTTTCTGGGCCAGGTTTTTGAAGAGCCACGGGGAGATCCTGCACGACAAATCCAGCAAGCTGGAGCAGCTGGAGAGCGAGGAGCAGGAAGGCCTGGACTGTAAGGAGGACGTGCTGGAGCTCTCCCCCTAGGAAGCTGGCAGCCTGGTGCTGCCGTGGGCCCAGGCGACGCTGGAGACGGGCCTTGTGCCACTGAAGGGAGCCAGGACGCCTTGTGTGCGCAGACATGAGCCGCTGCGTCAGGGGCTCAGTACAGACCGGCTGGGACTGGGCCACCCCGGGAGTGCCCTCCACTCCTGTGACCTTTCTGCCAGCTGGCCGCCGGCGCCGGGGTGTTTCCTTCATAGGTTCTTGGGCCGGTTTCGTTTTGAAATGCTCCGATTTGGTACCTTCTGGACAATGCTCCTTCCTGGAGTCTCAAACCTGCTCACTCTTGGCCCTCAGGCAGCAAGACGTCCCTGCCCAGCAAAGCCCGTCACACACACGTGAGCCCTCTCCAGGAGGCGGGGGCGTCAGAGCGCCCCTGGGCTGTGGCCCTGTCACCGCAGACCAGCAGACAGGTGTGCCAGTCCCGCTGACGGCAGTGGAGCGGCTCACAGGTGTAGTGGGCCGGGTGTGCCTCGCTGATGAGGGCTCACGTGACAATATTTGTGTAGCTTTAGCCTGTGGGCCCCTCAGGGTGCATATTTAATGTCACCTGCTAATACGCCATTTGTGATTAGCAGCCAGACAGTACAGCAATGAGCAGCGCGAGGGACGCTTGCGAGCACAGCGCAGGCAGGCACAGGCACAGGGCTTAGCAGAACACAAGTGCCCATGAGTCAAAGCCTCAGCTGGTGTAAATCGCCCTCTGCACTGCAGTCAACAGAGCTGTCCTGATTTACACCAGCCGACGTTCTGGCCCCCTGGGGTCGGGATACCTGTCAGGCTGAAATGTACAGGGCCTGGGTGAGGAGCAATAAGCATCAGTCTCCTTCCTGGGGGAGATTTATCCCTAACTTGGATGTAGCCTGTTTGGAGGCCTTATCGGACGCACGCGGCCGGGGCTGGCTCGCTCCACGGATGGCAACGGAGCGTCGCAGAGCTGAAGTCTGGGAGGTTTTGTCAAGATAAGTGAGAAGAATCACGCTTGATAGCAGCAGCAGGATTCGCTCCGAGCTGCCACGTTGCGAAGTCGAGGGGACTGGATCCGGCTGGCTCGGGGCAGAACTCCCCCCCGCGGAGCAGCACTCTCGTGACAATTCAAAGGGGCCAGCCGGGAGCTCCGGGCCCCCTTGAAACATCAGGGCCCTGGGGTAATTGCTTCCTTTGCCCCACCCCCCGTCAGTGGCCAGATGCTGAACTGCCCAAATGAATTGCCGTAGCGCCCGTGGAGCGGTGCTCAGTCACTCTGGCCCGCGACGTTTCCCACCGTCTGGCAGCAAGAGGCGTTCCCATGCTGGACGGCCATGCAGCGGGTTCCAAATTACCCAGCAACTCTGCCTTGAGAGCCTGGAAGGGAACTGCTGGCAGCACCGGGGAGGGCGGGCTTTGAAGTCGACGCAACGTGCCACTAGCCAGTGACAGTTCTAGATTTCTCCCTGTGTCGGGAATAAAGGCCGGCGGCTCTCTCACTTGTGCTCCGCTTGTGGTGGGGAACGAATGGCGGGAGAGGGACAAATCTGCAAGCTTCTGAATGTGCCCACAGGACAGGCGGCCGCCCGCCAAGCTCTCAACTCGACCGGCGATCTTACATTTAAAAATGCCCGTGCAAACAAGGGAGGAATCGTTGAAAGTGGGGCAGGGATCCCATGGGAGTCAGTGCAAATGTAGGGCTGGGAGGCACCTCAAAGGGCCTGTAGTTCACCCCCTGCGCTGATGCAAGGCCCCAAACCATCCACCAGGAGCTGAACCTGCTTTTAAAAGCCACCAGTGAGGAGGTTGCCACAACTGACGTAGCGCCTCCATAAGCTCCCCACGATCTTACTGCCAACTCCCGTAGGCTTCTCTCCCTTTGCTGCAATGGATCCATCACGGTCCATTTACTGTGTCCGCTCAGAGGCAATAAATCGGCCTCCGAGTGCTCTCCCGGGGGCTCCACTACTCCCCCGGGTGGGCAGAGTAACGAGTCGATACGGGAGTGGCCCCCGCTAACCTGATCACATGGAAGATGCCGCTGTAAGATCATCAGCTTCAGCTATGCGATCTGCGGAGCTGCAGTCACAGAGCAGATGGGCCGTGGGGATTGGCGTAGACAAGGCCTCGCTGAGGGAATTGCTGGGACCGCCCTTAGGGGACACGGAGAACCATTTATCAATGTCTTTCTTACAATCACCAAACTGACTGGGCAACAAAATGACAAATGCAATGTAGATAAATGTAAAGTAATGCACATTGGAAAAACCAATCCCAGCTATCCAGAGAAAGGGATGGGGACTCATTTAGCTACAACTACTCGCGAGAGATCTTGGAGCCCATGTGGATAGTTCTCTGAAAACATCCACTCAGTGTGCAGCGGCGGTCAAACAAGCAAACAGAATGTTAGGAATCATTAAAAAAGGGAGAGAGAATAAGACAGAAAATATCTTCTTGCCTCTAAACAAAACCATGGTACGCCCATACCTTGAATACTGCGTACAGATGTGGTTGCCTCATCTCAAAAAAGATAGATTGGCATTGGAAAAGGTTCAGTAAAGGGCAACAAAATGCTGAGGGGTTTGGAATGGGTTCCGTATGAAGAGAGATTAAAAAGACTTGGACTTTTCAGCTAGAAAAGAGGAGACTAAGGGGGATCTGATAGAGGTCTATAAAATCATGACTGGTATGGAAAAAGTGAATAAGGAAAAGCTATTTACTTGTTCCCACACTATAAGAACTAGGGGGTCAGCAAATGGAACTCATAGGCAGCAGGTTTAAAACAAACAAACAGAAGTTTTCTTCACTCAGTGCACAGTCAACCTGTGGAACTCCTCGCCAGAGGATGCGGTGAAGGCTAGAACTTTAACAGGGTTCAAAAAAGAGCTGGATAGATTCATGGAGGCTAGGTCCATCAGTGGCTGTTAGCCAGGATGGGTAGGAATCGTGGCCACTGTTGGCAGACAGGATGCTGGGCTAGATGGTCTGACCCAGAATGGCCTTTGTTATGTTTAGACTGCCAGGTTCTCTCCCGCCCCCTCTTTCTTCTTCACCCTGAGCATCGGCTCAGCTGGGTGACCTCTCCAGGTCCCTTCCAGTTCTAGGATTCTAGGCTCAGTTCTTTCGACCGATCCTCAAAGGCCATGTTCTCTAACTTCGGATCATGTTGGATGTTCTCCAGTTCTCTGCATTTGGGACGGGACACATGACTTAGTAGTTAAAGCAAAGACTTAGAGCTGGGTTCAATTCCTGGCAAGTCTTTCCCCCCCTCTCTGAGCCTCAGTTTCCCCCTGTGTAAAATGGGGATAGTAAAACATCTTACAAGGATCTCACAAACACTTAGGCTTGCAAAGGACTCTATGCACACACAGCATGGCACTCAATGAGACGGATGCTGAGATATGCTGGCTGGGGACATGTCCTGCTGGTTGTAAAGTTTCTAACGTGACTAAGCGTTGCTAGATCGGGGTCTGCCTTTGTAAGCTTCACACTTGTGCAGGGGGCCAGCACGAAGGGCCTACACCCGGCACTTCCCAAATGCTCAGCTCCTGCAGACCAAAGGTCGTAAAGACGGTGCAAAGTGTTTTCACCAACCTGCACAAGAGCTTGTAAAGCCGTCAGGATTAACAGGACGCATCTGTCTGCAGATGAGGATAGAAACCCTGCCCCGCCCACGTGCACACCCAAGCATCTGTGGCTTATACCTGCTCCCTGAGGGTTTCATTTGATCAGTTTATTTTTTTAAAAACAGCCAATTAAGTGAATGTGCCACCAACTGGCATGCAGCCGCTTGGCCAGGGCAAGTCCCGCATACGTCAGATGTAAATCATTCCGGCTCGTCAGTGGTAACGGGGCAGCTTGTGAAGCTGTTTCCTGAGCGTGAGGTCTGGAGGGAGACGGGATGCTGGAAAGACGATCGTACATTTCAGCCACTTCCCTCCCCTTGGCAAAAAAGTACCAAGGGCCGTTTACACTGTGTGTGTGGGCAGCGTGGTGGCTACTTACAGCCTTGCAGATTGCTACAGGCAGCGGCTTAGGGCTGAGCCCGTGTTGCTGTGCTCCCGACAGACAAACCCAGGCCCCCGCCCTCCACTGCCCACGCAGGCTGTGGCTAGTTCACTAATGCAAATGGGAAAGTAGCAGGAAATCAGGCCCACGGAGTGGGGTGCTGGGGAGAGTAGGGGGCATCTCTGGGGACATGGCGACTCCTATGCAGCCCTGCTACCTGCAGCCAGTGTGGGGGATGTGACCGGGGAGCAAGCCCCGGCCAGGGTCTCCGTAGTTTCCGCCCCCCGGCGACAAGTGGTCAGGATCCAGGGATTGCTCGTGCACACGCCACTCCACATCTGTGCTTAGTCCCAGCCCACGGGCCAGAGCAGCCAGGGGCAGCCCCGGCTGCATGTGCGGCCCCATCTCACTGGGCTCCCCCGGGATTGGCTGTTTGCTCACGGCGCTGGCGCCCCTAGAAAGTGGGGCGGTGCCGATTGAGCCGTAGCCGCGCTGCGATTGGCTGCAGAACGAGCGCCTGGTTTCACGTGTCGTGGACAGAAACCGAGTCACCTGGCAGCTTTGCACGGGGGCAGCTGTTCACAACGTCTCCCGGCCGCACACAGCGCCCCGAGGGGAGGGGCTGTTGGTTGCCCACCCCTGGGGTGCACAGAAGCTCTGGGGAGGAGTCCAAATGCTGAGTGAGGGGCACCCCCGCACAAGCACACGCGCACACCTGAAAAGCTGCAGGCTGCAGAGACACAGCCGACCCATCCGCCGCTGCAGCTCCAGTCAAGCCAATTGCCACCAGGTGAGAATCTGTCCCAAAGGCCCATTCCTTCCCTGCTCAAGGCTGACTCCAGTGGGACTTCAACTGGGTAAAACCGGCACCAACTATTTCCGGGAGAGGAGCTAGAATCCCGTTCCCACCTGACATTCCTGTCACAGAAAAGGTCCCTCTGCTGAGCTTTAACCCTTGGCTGGCTGGCAAGTCTCCCAGCCTGAACTCCAAAAACTGGTGCTCGGGAGAGCGTCAGGGCCCCGGGATCGGAACTTGCCAACGCGAGACATGCTGGTTCCACCCAGCAGGCCGTGCGCTACGCTGCAGCATGACCTGCCACGTTTCCACTCCCAGGAAACGAACGGCTCGTAAACCGCGTGAGAGCGAAACAACTCACCCA